TTGCCAGGCAAGCGCTTATTCCACTGAGCCATCTCCCTGGCCAATAAAAAATATTAAATTAAAAAAAATAATATAACGGCAGTGCAGCACCCATGGCTTGCTTGAGAGAGTGCTGGGGCTGCCCCTCCCCAAAGCCACTGTGTCCTCTGCTGTCTCAGCTCCTGGCAGTCACCAGACACTGGCCTTAATCCTCATTGTAAACTTGGGGCCTGTCGCACTGGAAGAGATCCTGCCTGGTGTTCTGAGTGCAGGAAAGCAGTGAGGTGGAAAGTGTCCCCTCCCCTCCCTGGCCCAGGTGGCTTCTCCACCAGCTGCAAGAGTCTCTTCTGAACAGCAGGGGCCGGTATCATAGAGGCAGCCTGAGGACTGGGGCTAAAGCAACCGCCATAGTCGGGCAGCCTTATGGAGGCCCAGCCTGGAGACAGAGTTCCAGCTTTGGGCTTAAATAGCTGCAGGATGCAGGGTGGAGGATTTGAATGCTCGTCCTCAGTGTTCTTATCTGTGAAATGGGCACACAGTCCACATCTCACCAGGGCAGAGTGACCCCAGGGAAGCCCTTGTTTGCCATGAACTACGGTGGCCCCCTTTGGCCCTGGTGGCCTCCCACAGTCACCTCTCTGAAGATGCCCAGGCTCTGGGGATGTAAGAGTGGGTGTTTATAACCAAACAGTGTGGTTACCTTGGAGACACATTCCTCTTCCTCTACCCAAAAGCCAGGAGCGTGTCTGGCTTGTGTCAGCTTCTGTTCTGATGTTGGTCCTGGGGCTCAGGGGCCTCTTGGGTGTGAACAGCCTTCCTCACCCCACTGTCTTTCCTCCATGGATAGCTGTTGATCCTGCCCATATCCAAAGGTGACATGAATCCTCTCTAGCAGGTGGGGCCCTCTGGGGTTTGGAGTTGTCCATGAATCTAGCAAGCAGTGACCAGAGGATGCAAACACGGGGCTCCTGCCCCAAGAACAGCGCACTCCCTGTGGCTCCCCCTCTTAGAAAGGCTTTTCTGCCTGTGGCATCCTTTGACTACAGGCCAATGCCCACGTTACCGTGCCAGCCCTCTCTGCAGATCCCCCAGCCTGCCGTGCACATCCCTCAGGCTGCAGGCAGAAAGAAGTCCCGTGTTCTTATCTGCCCAGCCAGCACCCTGCAGCAGGCTGAGTGGGAAAAGGCAGCTTTTATAAAGCGTCCCGTGATCTGACAGCAGGAAGCAGGTGACAGGAGGACAGGGGGTGACAGCAGCCCGTCTGCTCTCCTGGAGCCTGTTCCCACGCTCCTGTTATCTGCTTTTCCTTTTTTTGACTGTGGTTTTCAGTGCCCTACTGAATAGTCCGTGGACAGATGCAGGGTCATGAAGGCGTACGCCACGCCTGCTTCTAAGGTGCTAGAGCTTTGGCTTCTGTGTTTAGGTCACTGATCCGTTGTGAGTTCAGCTTCATGTATGGTGTGAGATAGGGATCTGGCCTCAGGTGACTGTTGTGGGAACATCTGCCCTAGCCTCCTTTGTTAAAATAGTCCCAACACTTACTGGGAATCGCCGTTTGGGTTTATTTCTGGCCTCTCCGTTCTATTTCTTTGGTCTCTATTTTGGTCCTTATGCCAGGACTGTATTGTTTCTTCCCCCTCCCAACTTTTTTTTGTCTTTCTAAGATAAGGTCTCACTACAAAGTTCAGGCTGACTTTGAATTCACTTTGTAGCCCAGGCTGGGCTTAAGCTTACAACGATACTCCTGCCTCAGCCTCCTGCCTGGCAGGCACTTGTGTTACTGAGCTATCTCCCTGACCCTATTGAGTGCTGGGATTGCAGGCGTGTGCCACCACACCCAGCAGGACTGTATTCTTTTTTTTTTTTTTTTTTCCGGAACCAGGGATTGAACTCAGGGCCTTGGGCTTGCCAGGGAAGCGCTTATTCCACTGAGCCATCTCCCCGGCCCAGGACTGTATTCTTTTGGTGACTGTGTTTCTAGGTTTAACTTTTGGAGCAGCAGTGCTATATTTTAAAGCTCCCCAGATGGTTCTGAGGTACAGCCAAGGCTGGGAACTCTTGGTTTCCAGGAAGGAGAGGATGCAATCGGGGTGACCTTGGGGAGGCTCCTGAGGGGAGCGAGGTGCTGTGCTGTGGTGGGGAGGCTTAGGAATCCCATCCTTCCTAACTCCAGAGGCCTCAGGGGTGCTGGAGGTGCCAATGGGAGCTGGTGGTCCGGGTGAGCTGGGGAAGCTGCTCACCCCCAAGGGGATTTGGCGGCCGATCTGGATCCCAGCCACGGCTCTGCCCGCAGCGCAGTCTTGGCCACATCACTCAAACTGTGTGAGCAGAGCTGGTCTCTGCTGGGTGGAGCGGAATTCTCTAGTTGCTCCTGTGAAGCTTTGGGCACCAGTCCACAGTGAGAGAGATCAGTGCTGGAGGAGCTGAAAGCAACTGAATAGGTGGCACAGTCTCCCCCCGGAGCTCTTGTCAGCTGAGCTGCTGTTTTGTGTCGGTCAGCTCCCCTCTTCCCCAGGCGCACATGCGGCCTCGGAGCCGGTGATGGCCTTGGGGGTCTCCAGGGCTCCCCCGCTGCATGTCAGCTGGGTAGACGAGGCCCCACTCTTGCAGTCTTGGCCACCTCTCCCACCCTTCGTCTATCCCACAGCGAGCAGAGCACAGAGCTGAGCTGCTAGCCTAGCTTCTGGC